TAGATTTAGATTTATTGGTTATAGATTTACATCTCCATCTCTGATTGGAGCGGTTTCTGACATTGATTTGATATCCCATGATCTTGGAAAAGGTTCATAGTTACACGAGAGCATTTCTGTGAAAACTCCTATATCCCCCCCCCTTTTTTTTAAAGCATTAGTGACCCTGAACCTAATAAAAACATTATTATTATTAAAGTAGTTATCGAAACATTCCACTTGCTGGTATCCTCGTAGCAGTTCTCAGGAGAGGTAAAGTTTTGAACATAAACTGGAACTTCAGTAGAATTTTCCTTTCGAGTTGAACCTGAAGGAAAGAGCACATAAAAGTTTTCTGGGCAAATTTCCAGCATCGTAGCACATGAGGTTTGCCATGTCTCCTAAAGAGTTTCAGGAAGAAAGAATGCAAGAGACTTGTGGAATTTTTTTCTGTTGAGGTTTCTAAACGTTCATGAAAGAGGCTTGTTTTTCCCTTAATTAAGAGCGTGGGACTTCACAGCTTGCTTTGGCTTCTTAACTCTTTTCAAGTCCAAGAAAATTCTGTGTGTAGAGAGAGAATAAGAAGGTTGGTAGAAAGTTGTATGTATACACACACACACACACACACACGTGTTTATATACTGTAGAGAATACATGCACATATATATTGAATCCATTTCTTTTTTTTAAAAATATTTATTTATTTATGATAGACATAGAGACAGAGAGAGGCAGAGACACAGGAGGAGGGAGAAGCAGGCCCATGCCGGGAGCCTGATGTGGGACTCGATCCCGGGACCCCAGGATCGCGCCCTGGGCCAAAGGCAGAAGCCAAACCGCTGAGCCACCCGGGGATCCCCTGAATCCATTTCTATGTGCAAAATCAAGTGAGCAGTGCATTCCCACTTCTAAAGGTGCAGCAGGGTGTATGGTGGTGGGGTCTCCTTCCCACTCCTATTCTCTCAGCAAGAAACCCTCTTTTTAGAAACAACCACTTCTACTAGGTTTTTTTTTTTTTTTTTGCGGCTTCCAGAGATAATCCATTTAGATTTGTGTATCTATTTACAGCTATGTAAATATTCATTTGAAACCCCAAACACAGAAAAGTAAAATAAAACCACAAATACTATATACGCTGTTCTGTACCAGGCTTTAAAAAAAACCTGTAATATGTCTGGGAGAGCGTAGCAGATCGGCGCATAGAAAGCTGCTTCATTCATTTTAATGACGGCGTAACAGCAGCACAGCATTATGGGCTATAATATTTAATATTACATCCCGCCACCTGAAATATTAATATTATGTTAATATTTATTGATGGATTTGAGTCTAGTTTTATTTGTATTTATTAATAGCATATTGATATATAACCAGACTTCCACTGATATTTAACTTGCTCTCTAGCTTTCGCTCTTTCAGACCAGGCTAAAAACTATGTCATTTGCACACACAGGAGTTTAGATGAGAAGGATTTCGAGGTTGAACGAAATACGCACATGTTGTAATTGTGATCGGTTTTGCTAACATGTTCTTCATTTACATCACCATGTCCTCAGCATTATCATGTGGCCATCAGACTTTTTGATACTTACTTGTAGCTGCGATTTGCATTGCTCTAACGTGAGGTTGATCATTTTTTCATGTGTTTAAGAGTCATTTGTGTTTCCTTTTCTGTGAGCCATCTGTTCTTTTCTTTTTTCTCCCTTCCTCCTCCCTCCCTCCCTCCCTCCCTCCCGCCTTCCTTCCTTCCTGCCTTCCTTCCGTCTGTCTGTCCTTTTTTTTTTTTGGGTTTCTGACTTATTATCACTGACCGCAGAAGCTCTTTATAGGTATAAAAAATTAGCCTATTGGGTTTATGAATTGCAGGACTTCCCACCTGCCCCTCATTTCTCGATTGTCATTTATGTTTTTGGTGGAGCTTTGGTTTGCTTTAAAATGCCATACGTTGGGATCCCTGGGTGGCACAGCGGTTTAGTGCCTGCCTTTGGCCCAGGGCGTGATCCTGGAGACCCGGGATCAAATCCCACGTCGGGCTCCCGGTGCATGGAGCCTGCTTCTCCCTCTGCCTGTGTCTCTGCCTCTCTCTCTCTCTCTCTCTCTCTCTCTCTGTGTGTGACTATCATAAATAAATAAAAATTAAAAAAAATAAAAAATAAAATGCCATACGTTTTGTTGTAACGTGTCGAATTTATCAATCGGGTGTTAGGCCATTCATAGGAAGACTTTCTCCATTCTAAGCTGATCATTTAATTCCTCTAGAATTTATTGAGATAAAGGGGTGACGTAGGTCATCCTTTGTTTTAGATGGCTGTCCAGTTTTCTCAAACTGCTTAGTGACCTTACATCTTTTCCCTGTTGACTTGAAATGTCATCCTTCCTGCACACTTGGTTTCCATGTGTATCTTTGACCTGTTTGTAATCTGTTCTGCTGACTTGTTCTCACCTGCCCATCGTCCTGCCTTATGATGTGGCTGTTAATGTCTAGGAGGGCGGGTGGCCCTCAGAGCACCTTTTGTGTTGAGAGATACCCTGTTATTTGTGTGTTATTTTACCACATGAACGTTAAAGTCAACTTGTATAGTAACCTCAGCAAATTAAAAAAATACATATCTTAGAAGTGTCGTCTTTGGATTGTGAGTTCATTCCGTTAATACAAAGCTTAGAGAGAATTGACACCCTTTGAATCTTGTCCTTTTTATTTACAATCATGGGATATCTTTTGTAACCTTTCTTTTTTATTGCTTAGTAGCATTTCCAAGTTTTCTTCCTATAAACTTTGCATATTTCTTAAGCTTTTCTAGATTTTTATACTTTTGTTATTATAATAAGTTAGGTTTCTTATGTTGTATAATTTTGCCTGTGTGTGTGTGTGTGTGTGTGTGTAGGCTTTTTGTTTTAGCATCATTTTCTACCTTGTAACTGTTTTTGAAATAGTTTTTCTGTTGATATTTTTGGGTTTTCTGGGGAAACATATTATTTGCGAATGATGATTATTCTTTTTGTTTCCAATTTTGGTTTTTTTTTTTTTTCCTTATCCATGTCATTGGCTAGTATCTAGTGAACAATAGTAAGTATTAATAGTGCTAGTAATGTCTTATTTTGACTCTGCTGGTGTAATATTATTCCCAGTCATTTGAGATTTAGCAGTAAATAAAAGAATTCTCTCTCACTCATATGCGTGTGTGTGTGTCTGTAATTATATAAAGAAATAGCCAACTATTCTTTATTGAATGATTACATTAAGAATGAATATAAATATTCTAAACCCATGTTTTGATTTATGATGATGATGTGCCGTTTAGTAAAATTGCTAGAGATCACTGAATTGTACACATAAAATAGGTCAATTTTATGATATATAAGATATACTTCAATAGGTCGTTTTTGAAAAAGAATAAATATAGTATTTTATCAGTACCTTTTAAATATCTGTGGAAGTGATCAAACACTATTTTGCTTTTACTCTAGTTACACAGTGAATTGTTTAAATAATACGAAATCCTTATATTCCTATAATAAGTCCCACTTACTCATAGCATGTTAATCTTTTTATGTACTGCTCAGTTCTGTTTGCTGGTTTCTAAATTTAGGATTTAACATTAGTATTTAGAAGGGAGATTTATAAGTAGTTTATTTTTTGTGTATTTTCTCTGTTAAGTGTTGCTATCACCATTATACCTTATTGTTTAAATAAATATTTAGGAATTTTCCTTCTTTTGCCTTATATAGAATTGTTTAAATATTATCAGAATTGTGCCTTTAAACATGCTTAGAACTCACTTCTGAAGCCATCTAGGCCTGTTTTCGTTTACTTATGTATTTATTTCTCAGAAGGGTAGTCAGGAGGGTAGCCCTTTGACTTTGATTTCATTATAGAATTGACCTATGTAAACTCTCTCTGTTTTTTTTTTGTTGTTGTTGTTGTTTTGTATTGTTTTTGTTTTTAATGGAGTCTGATTCCCTAAGTATAGATCACATGTTATTTACTAAACATCTTCAGGTCATACTGATTGAGTCCCTCCTGATGAAGGGTGATACGATCAATAATGTTATTGTTTTTGAGAGTGGTAGCTCTTTTCTTATATTTGGTGTTTTGTGGTATTTGACAGTTATGCCTACCATTCCCAGATGTAGATGTTAAGGACTGTTCCTTATTTTTGTTGTTGAGATGGTGATATTGTAAACCATGACGTGTGTTTACACCCACTGTAGACCACCATTATCATGGTCTTTGGTACACTTGGTGAAGAGAGCTCAGTTTTATTGCTGGTCATGTGGCAGACACACGGCCTGTCCTTAAGAGAGACACATTTGATCTGTCTCGGTTACACATTGTAAGGTTCTCAGTAATTCCCGTGGATAAAATATTTGTTTAGTATCTACTGTGTGTGTGTTTGCAGAGGATATAATATTCCAAGAGACAACGTATGTTATGAGTGCAAAATTGAATTAAATAATATTATGGTAAAGATTATATTCAGAGATATTAAAAGATACATTTTCATGCTTGCCTTGGGGACAATGACGTTGAAATGATTTTCAGATAGAATGGAAAATAAATATTGATTCAGTCACCCTTATATCTGGCGATGATTGTTTCAGCAATATTTTTGCTTTTACAAAGGAATGGGGTAATAGGCCAGGAAGAGGAAATCAACCCTGGAGTAACAGCTACAAAAAATGAAAATGCTGATCCTAATTTAGATTATGTTTATTTAAAATTTTTTTAAATTTTTTTTAAAGATTTATTTATGATAGTCACAGAGAGAGAGAGAGAGGCAGAGACACAGGCAGAGGGAGAAGCAGGCTCCATGCACCGGGAGCCCGATGTGGGATTCGATCCCGGGTCTCCAGGATCGCGCCTTGGGCCAAAGGCAGGCGCCAGACCGCTGCACCACCCAGGGATCCCCAGATTATGTTTATTTTAAAACATGTTAAGAAAAAAAGTACCTATAGTTGATAATTGCATTGGATTATGTTGAAGAGTTATTGACAAAATATTCTTTCCTTTTCTCTCATAGATTTATCTAAAAACAGACTGGTCGAAGTCCCAATGGAATTGTGCCATTTCGTATCACTGGAAATTCTTAATCTGTACCATAATTGCATCAGAGTCATTCCTGAGACCATCATTAATCTGCAGATGCTGACTTACTTAAACTTGAGGTAGGTTGACTATACAGATTGTAATCAAATTCAGTGGAAAAAAAAAAAACCCTAAATCATTGTGCTTTCATTTCTATCAGGGTGTTTGTTTCCTCTCTTTGCAATTTCTGACCACTTTTTGAAGCTAACTGCACAAAGATTATTTAAGAACTACCTTCCATGATAAATTTGTAGTGCCATTAATATTGTTTTTGATGCCCGACTTCTCTGAATGTCAATATGACAAGGTATTTTTGTTTAGTTTTTGTTGTTGTTGTTACAGTAATTTATATGGCATCATTTATACTTTTTGTCTCTTTGGTGTGTGGTATATTGTCTTCAGGTATTGATGTAGTTTTTGGAGGAGGAGGGCTAAAGGAAGTGAAAAAAGAACTTCAGGGCTCTGACACATTGGAGCCTTGCTGGTCTTTGGGGGGTTTTGGACCATTGGATTTGCTACTTAGTGCAGTCTGAGCCTGTTCCCTTTAGGCCACGTGAGAAAGTTCTAGAGCGCTGAGCAACTCCAGAAAGGTATGAAGTTTGCTGTTTTTGTAACCCCATTCAATTAGGTCAGCCTTTGCTGAGGGCATGTCAGTGGTCTGTATTGATTCTCTGATTATGCACAGCATCATGTAACATACTCATGCCCCTGAGTAGCCCTGGAGTTAAGGAAATCGGCTATTATTATAAGGCCTAGGTTTTAGACTTTGTGCTGTGACTGTCAACTGCTCTGGCCAGATTTTGGTTCCTTGTCTCCTAAATCTTTGACTTGCACAGGATGTCAGGAGAGAGATAGGAACTGTTACATCAAATCTATCTCTACTATGAAAGCAAGGTGCCAAAGTTCAAGTCTGAGCAGAGCCTCTACTCATGTCAGTGGCATTACCTTGGTGTGTCAAGAGCAGCACCTGATTAGCAAGGCTTGTGCTGTGTAACAAACATGCCAAACTTTATTTTTTTAAGACTTTATTTATTTATTCATGAGAGACACACACAGAGAGAGAGAGAGGGGGGGGCAGAGAGACAGGCAGAGGGAGAAGCAGGCTCCATGCAGGGAGCCCGACGTGGGACTCGATCCTGGGTCTCTGGGATCACGCCCTGGGCCGAAGGTGGCACTAAACCACTGAGCCACCAGGGCTGCCACATGCCAAACTTTAAAGTGCAAAATTGCCAGTGAAAAAGATGAGCATTAACTTATGGTAGATAATATCGATTATTTTTTAGATTTTTGTTTGTTTGTTTTAGTCAGACACTGAGAGGTCCTCTCTTGCTTTCTTTGCAGTCAAAAATGGGTTTCTGCCACATTTTATTAGGTGTGCATATCCTCCTTGGGAGTGAGAAAAAAATCCTAGTCACGTTTTTAAGTGGCCTTTACTTACATTTTAAAGTGTGAATTACTATTAGCATAATCTAGACGCTTACATTAGCTAACTTTCAATTCTCTGGGTTTCAAGTGCATCTGACCATTGTTGAATTTTCTTGAATAAGACAAGTCTAAACTGTTTCTGCAACAGCAGAATGTTCGTTACTTTGGAATTGCCTGATGGAGTCAACATAGTGGTGTTATAGGATTTGGTTCACTATTTCCTTGAGACATCTGCCCTGTAATTCCAACCTGCATAGAGGAACTATCCCAAGAGCCTATGCAGTCGGTGTTTACTTCCGCAGGTCTTGTCCTGCTGTGACATTTTCACCTCCAGTACTCCTGCATGCAACAAGTAAGGAGATTTAATGTTGTCACACAAAGTCCATCCGCAGTGAGAAACTTTTGGGTATAGATGACTTATCTCTTCTGGGATGATATACACAATAAAATTCTACAAATGTTGAGATAATCTAATCTTAAAGTTTATATTATGGTTTAAAAGCATTAGTACAATTGGTTTTGCTGTGACGGTTTTCATGTTGAGCTTCATGGAGAGTAGATAATACCGCTATCTTCAGTTGGTAGAAAGGACATATTGAAGTGTGGGTCCCAGGATCCTCCGAGGCAAGAACGGGGAGAGTCGTCGAGATTGATGATGCTGAAGAGGAACCGTGTGGGCATATTGTAAACCGTTATGTGGTGAATTCCTGGGCTACAGGAAAAAGAAAGAGATACAGGGACTGTTGACCACCCAACTCTTTAAACACTGGTTTCTGTCTAATTTATTGTTTGCCTCGGTCTTTTCTCCCTTTTATATAGATGGCTTTTATTTTGTGTAGATTTTTTTGTTCACATCGCAACTCTAATATTACTGTGCTTTAAAACATATTCTATAGTGTTGAATCCTGACTCTAAAGGAATTGATAACTACATGGAGAAAATTAAGAAAAAGTATATCTCTTACTTTTCAGGGGCGTTCGTTATATCAGGGTATATGAAAAATGCAGGTATATCTTTGGGGCACCTGGGTGGCTCAGTTGGTTAGGCATCTGCCTCTTGATTTCAGTTCAGGTCATGATCTCAGGGTCCCGGGATCAGCCTTGTGTTGAGCTCTGGGCTTAGCAGGGAACCTGCTTGAGAGTCTCCCTCTCCCTCTGCCCCTCCCCGCTGCACTCTCGCATGTGCTTGTGTGCGCACCCAGGCTCTCGCTCTCCCTCCCTCTGGGAAAAAAAGAAAAGATAAATGTATGTACAGCCTCTAAACTCTCCGAAAGCCAGGTACTACATATATATATATGTAATATATATATATACATGATATATAACATAGAATACATGTATTATATATGTGTACATGTATATATATGTATATGTAATTATTTTTGATACCTCTTTTAAGTTTGCTTCACTAAATGTGTAACATAAAGTAGTAACATAGGGCAGGCTTTAAAGTAACCAGAAAGAGGGCAGCCCCAGTGGCTCAGCGGTTTAGTGCCTGCCTTCGGCCCAGGGTGTGATCCTGGAGACCCAGGATCGAGTCCCACGTCGGGCTCCCTGTGTGGAGCTTGCTTCTCCCTCTGCCTGTGTCTCTGCCTCTCTCTCTCTCTGTGTGTCTTTCATGAAGAAATAAATAAAATCTTAAAAAAAAATAAAGTAACCAGGAAGATGGTCACCTTGTTCAATTGGAAAGCCTCTAACTCCTCATTTATTTGGTTCAGTGGGAGCGTGTCTTCTGAGAATCGGACCCCTGGAAGGGAGTTATTTCTCTGTTTGGTAGCGATTGGGATTGGAATGTTTGCCTAAAGGATTTATTGTAGCTTGTACAACAGAAGATGACTGTCCCCCTCTCTTTATGTGCAGATATGCAAGTATGTCTGGAAAATACCAGTGGCATCTAATGAATTGTTGACTCTTTAAGATGCTGAGTAATATCACCCGTGTGATAGTGGGGCCTGTGTGAGTGCTTCCTGCCCTCAGACTCCTACCCCACTCCCAGCCACCCTCAAACTGGTGACCAGGAACACGTTTAGAATATTGTGCTTATGCGTGCTCATGATACACGTCCCCTCAACGACATCCAGGATCGGGTGTCATGGCCTTTTCAGGTCTTTTCTGCCCCTCCGGAAAATTAAGTCAATGCAGTAAGATCGATGTCTTCTTGGGTGTGGTGAGGAGGCCTGGTGGGCTCCAGTTAACTTTAGCCTTTGGCGGAGAGCCTGCCAATCCGTTTACTTGAAAAGGAAGCCAGGGACTCGGGGTGCTGCAGACCTACTGCGTTATAGACCTACTGAGTTGTCTTCAGTGCAGGCAGGTTTTTTTCTATGGTAAAGGGGGTATTATGCCAAAGAAAGAAGCTTATATTCAAGACTAATATAGAATCAAATCATGACATGATCACCAATGTAGATGTATCGGAGAACTCCGTATAAGTTTCAAAAAAGTAAAGAAAAGCTGTAAATTGCTTTTAGGTGTACACTTGAGGTCTAGCTAGAACAATCTAGCATGTTCTGAGATGGCTTTAACAAATAGGCAAGTTCCTTAGGTTTTATAAAGAAGTACCTGAAATACTTTGGCTCTTCTGTGGTGCTGAGGGGTTTTCCTCTTATTTCTGTTAACTACGAATCAAGAGCCCCTAGATAAAGTAGTGCAGGGAAGCTGCTTTTCAAATTTTCACAGATTTCATGTTTCTCTACTCAAACGTGGTCTCAATGCAATTTTTAATCTTCTCTCTTTTTTAATAAATCACACGTAGACATCACTAGTTTTGTGTGTTTCAAAGGAGGAGAGATGCCGTGTGAAGCTACTTTGAATTGATGGGAAACGTTCAGAATGGATCACCCCCTCCGAGATGTATGGAGTAGGAGTGGACACTCATAAATATTTGATGGTCGTGGTGATGATGATGACAGTGAAGATGATGAGGGTGCTGGTGCTGGTGGTGATATGCCACTGCCTACGCAGCCTCTTGGCTGACAGGATGTCTCAGAGATGATATCTTGAAATGTCAGAGGGCTGCTCAGTTCCAGAAATCCAGTTCCTGTCTCAGACCAGAGATAGGTCTAATGAGCACATGCAAAATAAAACCACTCACGGTGAAATACACTTCAGCATATTCCCACGTGATAGAAATGTCAGATTCGTGGAAAACATTAATTTATTGCTGTTTATGTAGCCTGTGTTTGGAGGCTCTGGGCTTTTAATCTTTGCTTCTTGGTGTTCACAACAAAAGGTTATGTTAGCTTAGTTTGGGTGCCACTGTGTTTCTTCCTGTTATAAAGTGTCTTAATCCCAGAAACGTGGCCAAGAACAATAAAAATGATGAAGCATGACCTGTGCCTATATAGGAACAACAAACACTTTGAACCTCAGCTACACAGGAAAGCCTTACAAAGTTTAAAATCTATTTTAAGGTGCTGGAGAGGTTGTTGTTGATGAGACCCATGAAGAAAATGTACCTTAGGAAAATAGAACAACCCAAAGCAGCAAAACTCTTGGCAGCCATCGAGGTGCTGTGAATCTAAGCATAGGGACTTTAGCTTGAAAGTGTGTCTCAGAGGCGTTCAGGAATGGAAGCTGCCAAAAAATGAAAGTTCTTAACAGCATTTGATCCTATTGCTTCCAGAACTCTTGGTGAGTGGTTTTCCTTTCTGAGGGTG